TAATTTAATTAAAATACAATGTTTTATTTTACTTATTATGTTGCAAAAAATGGTAATTTCTCCCATAAATAATATTAATGCTGATAATTGATGTTGAATTAGGATTTTTATGTAAAAAAAAAATCAAGTATGCTACTCAACAAATAGCTATATAAAATAAATATATATAAACAGACAATAACAAACTATAATTTTACACATCTAAGGATCATGTGCATAGGGAAAAAAGAGATTGTATATTTATATTCTATAATATAAATATATGATTTTGTATGTCTTACCGCAATATTTTACGTTCAAGTTCAGCTACTTAAAGAAACTACTACACAGTCTATCCATATAATAGAGCTACACATCATTAATTATAGAAATTATAGAGATAAGCATCAAACAAATTACACAAATTGCTATGAAATAGTACTGATACTCTGTGAAAATATTCAAGTATACAAAGGGTAGTAAAGAGAAAAAAAAAATGCAAAATGCTTCATACAAATTTGTAAATTTTCGACATTGTGTTTGTGAATAATATCTGTTTTTATCTTTTTCTCCCATTCCCTTCCGTATTCGCATGCTTTCTCATGATGTAAGGTTATAATCGTACGTTTCGTTCTCTACGAAACACACGAATATTAATTGTCATGCGATAAACCAAAATTCATTCTGCACATCGTCCAACGAACAGTCGGAAACAAACGATTAGCAAACAATGATTACATTCGCGAAGGATCGCACGAGTTGAATTCTCACGTGTTAACACACTCACCTGACGAGAGTAGAAGCGGCAGAAGAGGTAGAGTCAGTCATTTTCGATAGCCACCATCCGTTGCGAAGAATCCAGAAGATTTTATACACTTTTTCTTCACCATAGCATCTCTCATGTGCAATTTACGTAATGAGGAATCATCATTCCGAATGACACACACGCAACTCCGCGAATTGTTTACACGTCAAAAACTACTGCAACGCCGACATAGATATTCGAGGTATTCCGTGCTCGATCGTGATCTCGATCTTCCGTTTCTCCGATCTGCGATTTTTCCTGTCTCGACACCCGCAACACGCCGATTATAACAGCGAAGAAGATTGTCGATGATTTGCGAATATTTCCTGCCTATCGTCAATTGAACCTTAAACGAAGAGTCCCTTTCGTCCGAAGAAACGTATCACTCATAGTTTTACTGTTGTCACTCGAGTGTGTGAAATCTCCTCAGTGTACGTAACTTACTGCAATGGCGGTCCGACTCGGCCCGGTCCGCCGAATCTCGACTCTGTTCGGCTCAGCTCGATTGATAGAATTTAATAATTCATGGAGACCGCAATGACAATTATGGAGCATTCATACCGCGTCCCGACAGCCAATAGGAAGATTTGATTTCTAGTGACTTTAGCTAGAAACATTTCGTGTCTCAAGCTCAACCTCTCCTATTGATCGTCAAGTGGACGCGCGTCGGACTTCAGCTGTTATATAGATCTCCTATTACACTCAGTGCCGTATACATTTTACGTCTCAAATTAAATAGTTTCAATACCTAACGTTTTCGATTGAAACGAATTTGAATCGTCCCGAAATTGGGAAAATCGACTTTCACGCGTACACATCTGACCAGAAATTGGTTAGGTGTGAGAAGCTTTTGGATTGCTGTATTGTTACGAAATAACGATTCCGTTCCTTTATTTTGATAAACACATCGAAAACTTTGTGCAATCCCTGTTTTTTTTTCAACACAAATTTCTTATAAAACATGAAATAAACTCTTTTTGTATGATTATATGCTGACAGACACACAGCTAATTACTCGAAGCATTTTGAGTGCCAGGGGCGCGTTATATACTAGTGCAACGCAGTGCCCGTATCTTTGTATTGTTATATATATATATATATATTCGATTCTCGTTTCGTCCCCGGCGAGAAGTTGACGATTTGTGAAACAAGACACAAGTCGCGAAATCCTTGTCCGAAAACGTTGTCACGGTTAGAAAAAAAATGACGCTGAACGTACTGAAGTGCAGTGTTACCGCTCGCGGTATGCGTCAATTGAACAAATTGTCAATTTATTCAACGCTGAAATTATATTTGTCCACTTCAGCTGTTACGATGAAGGTACACATTTCCCTACATTTTTACAGGCGAATTTTACATAATCAACTAGCATTTTTTTTTGTCGAGCTGTCGATGTAATATTGCGACAATATGTGAGAAATAAATTCGTGTTTTTCTGTTATTACTGAAAATTCGCGATAAATAGTCATGTTGATATCGTTAACAAAATGTAATTATAAAAATTACTTGATCGACGAACGGAAAGGACGATATTAAAGACACAAGCAAATTTTCAAGTATTCGATGGTTATAAATAAATATCAGCGTTGCATTGCGTAATATTTTTTTTAACTTCTGAGACAAACATTTGTGGCTGAATATCGTTAGACGGTTGCTACGTCAACATTTTACATATTTATAGTCGAATCTTAAATGAGTATATCTGGTAGTATATGTGCCTGCATTCAATCCTGTTACCCAACATCTCTTATCACACAAGACCTCAGCATTCCAACTTTTAGAGTCTTTCCTGCTAACATACTACCAGCTATACTCAGTCACATCTTACACGATCCTGATAATGGTATAGAATTTTAAGCTTTCCATGCATTTTAAACTACAATATTACTAATTCCATATTAACACATATGCCATACCTTGCATTAGTAATATAATATTTATATTAATATTATTAATACAACTGACAATGTTGAATAATGTATTGTGTGTACAGGAGTGCAGTGGAAGTAAAGATTACAGAATAGAGAAGGACTCGTTTGGTGAGCTGAAAGTTCCAAGCGATAAGTATTATGGTGCCCAGACTCTCCGGTCGATGATGAATTTCTCAATTGGCGATGCGTTCGAGCGTATGCCGGTAAGGACCAGCTGTACGTTAAATTTATCTCGCACGCTCGCCCACATCCGATCTAATCGACATCGAATCTCTCTTACAGTACGGTGTGATAGTCGCTATGGGTATATTGAAAAAAGCCGCTGCCGAGGTGAACAAAGAATACGGCATGGATGCCAAGATCGCCGATGCCATCAGCAAGGCTTCCGATGACGTAATAAGTGGCAAGTTATATAACGATCACTTTCCACTGGTTATTTGGCAAACTGGATCCGGCACGCAAACCAACATGAACGTCAACGAGGTTATTGCCTGCTTCAATTTCAACGTCAACCGCGAAGCGTTGCGACAATTGTTTCACAATGAGATAATCGTGTCAAAAATATTCAGGTTATATCGAATCGTGCGATCGAGATACTCGGTGGCGAACTCGGCTCGAAGAAACCCGTTCATCCGAACGATCACGTCAATATGCAGCAGAGCAGCAACGATACCTTCCCGGCGGCCATGCACATAGCCGTCGCTCTGGAAATCAACCAAGTGTTGATCCCAGGCTTGGAACATCTGCACGAAGCGTTGAAGGCGAAATCGGAGGAGTGGAAGGATATCATAAAGATCGGCAGGACGCACGTTCAGGACGCAGTCCCGCTGACACTGGGCCAAGAATTCTCAGGTCCGTAGATTGTTACCTCGGTATTGTCGTTTTAATGAAGGTTTACTCGCGGAACCTGGCGTCAATAAAATGTTACGTATTTTCCTCACTCAGGATATGTTGCACAGCTCGAGAAGGGCATCAAGAGAGTGAAGGACACGCTGCCGAGATTGTATGAATTAGCTCTCGGCGCTACGGCGGTCGGGACCGGGTTGAACTCGCGAAAGGGCTTTGGGGAGAAGACAATCGCGAAGATCGCCGAGTTCACTTGTCTGCCGTTCGTCAGCACCTCGAATAAATTCGAAGCTCTAGCTACGCATGACGCGTTGGTCGAAGTACACGGTTCCTTCAATACGGTGGCTACTTCCCTCTTTAAGGTGCACATCTGCATTAACAGTAGATCTGTCGCGTGCCTCTTACTTCGCCGATGTTCTTAGTCTGTATCTTGTATAATCCGTCGTACAGATCACGAACGACATCAGGTTCCTCGGAAGTGGGCCGAGATGCGGCCTGGGTGAGCTGTCTCTACCGGAAAATGAGCCCGGAAGTTCCATAATGCCCGGGAAAGTGAATCCGACGCAGTGCGAAGCGCTCAGTATGGTGTGCGTCCAAGTGATGGGCAATCACGTTGCGGTGACAATCGGCGGCAGCAACGGCCACTTCGAGTTGAATGTCTTCAAGACGATCATAGTCGCCAATGTTTTGAGATCGGCGAGGCTGTTGGGCGATGCCTGCTGCTCGTTCACCAAGAACTGCGTCGTGGGCATCCAGCCGAATTTCGATAATATCAAGAAGATCATGAACGAAAGCTTGATGCTCGTCACAGCGTTGAATCCACATATCGGCTACGACAAGGTGCGGTATATGCGATCTCTTTAGAACATACGAGTGTAAGATACGTTAATGTCTGTAAGTGCACATTTTCACAATCGTTTGACAGTCCGCTGAAATCGCCAAGTATGCGCACAAAGAGAAGCTCACGTTGAAACAGTCCGCGCTGAAACATGGAATTACGGAGGAGCAATTCAATCAGTGGGTCAAACCTGAAGAAATGCTCGGCCCGAAGTAACTTGAAGAGAATGTTGAAGAGAAGACAGTGTTGCGAGTCTTAACGCTTCGCTAGTCTAACGCGCTTGGTTTGTATTCTTGTCATCATTCTCCACTTTTGAGCGTTATTTTTTTAATTGAATTTCTTGTTGACTTCATGCTTGCATTTTTTCAATAATTACGTTCAGGACATTCGGCAAGAATTATTTTATTCAGTTGCGTGTAGCAGATGATTGTATGTCACTTAATTCTCTCTTCCAGGGCTCTAATTTGTAAATACAATGTGAGTCAAGAAAGGTTGAAATATATTTGTTTTCCATGTTGATAATATAATTATTTTATTTATATACTTAATTAACTACCAAATCTGTTAAATAGTGAAGTATCGAAATATTCATATACAGTAAATCAGGGTTGATTAAGTTAATTATTATTTTTAACCAAGTTAAGTAAAAGTTACCTAAATAAAAACTAAATTAAAAATTAAGTTGAAATTAATTTGTTAAAGTTAAAAGTTAATTATGCAAAATCATACGTGTGTTTTTTGCATAAATAATCTCTTCATCGTAGATTAAATTTATGTGTGATGATGAAAAGATAGTCTATTATAAGAAAATAACTGTTTTGTGCTCAGAATTTCATATGAAAAAGAGCATTAGCACTTAAAAAGTCAAAATCAAATAAATTCATTATTTTCGATTGTTATCCTCTATTAGAAGCACCGCGCAATGATTTTATTTTATTGATGAATTGTTTTAAGTTATATAGAAAAGTTGCGAGATTAGTTCAAATTAATTCATTTTAAATAACTAGTTTACGTTAAAAGTTAACTCATTTAAAATTGCCTATGTTAAGTTAAAAGTTATTAACTTTCTGCTGATTAACTAAATTAACTTATTATCCAATTTTGCAATAAATCTATCATATCTACGCATCATACTGTACATGAAAGTGAGCTAAACACAGAAAAGTTTTTGCACACTTTCAAAGCCTATTCTCGCGCAATTCAATCTTTACATGTGACTTACTTCTTTTTTATTTATTTTTAAGAAATGCTCAGTAATTTTTGTCTAGTCTGTAATAACGAGTAGATAGTTCTGCTCAAAGTGAAATCTGCATGTTCTGATAGAGTACGAAGCGTCATATATAACAGTCCTACTTCGATAAATGGAAAAATATTGATCATCATGAATAATTTAATGAGCTGTATGCTATCTCTAAATGATATCCCTTCGAATTATTTAATGATCATATTGATTCACACCGGCCATAATGAACGATCGGCATAACGGCGATTTGTTCGAATTAAGCCAGAAGGAACGTCACATAAAAAACAACCGTCACCGCAATAACAAAGTTTCCCAATATTTTTATCCAAAGCTCGAATCTACATCATCGAGAGCTGGTCAGCAAATTAGCAACAGCTGTGTAATATGTGTAAGAAAGTTTATATGCCGAATGTGACGTATTCTCTTTTTTTTTTGCGACACCACATGTTCGTTGATAAGATGTGACACAAACATGAATGATAAAGATTAATTATGCGATATGCTTCATCGAATGGAAAAGGGAAGATAATGGACCACGCGGCCACGCCTGGCGATCCGATTGGCCGCTGGACGCACTTCAATTTGATCAACTTTTTACCTCTTCGTTACGCAACAACCTGTTATATACACGCACACATAGACCGAACTTGCCTCGAGACCTATGTGATTCAGCAGCTAACCGGTTTGCTCAAAGTTACTCCGGACAGTATGTGTTTAACCAGCAGGCCGTAAACATCTCCGACGTACCATTTGATACTTATACGTGACGTGTTTTTGAAGAAGCGAAAGATGAACTCGTCTGTATTCAGATCAGCCCTCCGGGACGTACGTGAGCATTGATATGATTTTTTCTCTCGTATTTTTTTCTTTTTTTTTATCTACATGCAACTCTCTTTGCATGTCGTCTTATCTGTGCTACATCGGTTTACGATGTTTTCCGTATTGTTATCTATATGTCTCCTATGCGTGTTGTTTTTAATGATCGCTCGAAGATTGCGGATAAATAGTGCGTAGCATTTTATCTTTCGAAACTAATTTCGCATCCGTAAGCGGGAATAATGTTCATAAACCCTTGAATCCGCTTTTAAATTGCATTTTGATAATATATATCGAACGCTCGAACACAGTGTGCAGATATACGCCGAGAAAATTGAGATAATTGTGTTTAATCAACGTTTATATTTGATCAACGTTTCGTCAAGAAAATCACCTTGAAGCAATTCTTGATTGGGTAACATATACGAATTAGTGTGTGTGTGATTGTGCACACGCGTGCACAAGTGTGTGTGTGTGTGTGTGTCTCAACTTTGGGATATCAGTCGTCTGTTATATCCTGATCAAAAATCTTTCAGATGAAAAAGTTTAATAAAAAGTAATATATATTTAAGCTTGAAATAATGACACAATGTTTAATAAATTCTGCTTACACCGCATGTGACGGGCGGACGAAGTCGCTCGCATATGTTATCAAAATTAAATGTCGCTTTTAGTTCAAACGTGGTCCTCTTCGATACTTTTCACCAAATATTAATTAATACTATGTGTACTGATTTATATTTTCTAAATAACCCATATACGTCGTTCGCGTTTATTGGCACGCTGACAATTCCCCGTATAGAATTGTACGCTTGTTGCGTGCCACGTTTAAACTCCTAAGGTTAAATAACTGGTTATGGCAAACGGCAAGCCTCGTCAATTTTCTGCACGCGCGTACACATTAGTTATATGAAACGATATATCCGATGTATTCTTTTCTCGATGTGTGAGGAACATGAGGACAGAAATATATATTTTTCCCCATGCAATCAACAAAAGACGCGTATCTCGCACGAACGCAACAATGGAGGCGAGAGAAAGTATGAAAATTTCTTTTAGATGCCGCGGAAACTGACGCAAACACGCGAAGTACATTTGTGCGCATCGAGACTCCAGCACCATCCTCTGACACAATTTTCAGAAGATGAACTTATGATGAAGGAGACCGGTAAGCATAATTTCTTTTTTCATTCATCTATCGAGGTTTCGCTGTAAAATGCGTCAAGTAAGCTGATAGACTCACAAAAGACCGTCTTTTATTCGTCGCTTCCGCACGACCTATCCTTGTAATTCGTGAATGTAACGTGCATTTTTCTCCCGTACGCTTTCAGTCACTAAACTAGCTAAGGAAGAAATCACTCCACTCGTGCGGAAAATGGAGAAAGAGGGGAAGATAGACGACGGCCTTCTGAAGAAGCTCTTCGAGAATGGCGTAAGTATACCGTGTGATTTCGATAAAGAATTTCGATCTCTTGAATTTTCGGGAATATATACGTGTACGATCGACGGGTCTCGAGAAGAGATTGTGCCGAGAAAATTAGTTCCCGTTGGTGATGGTACGTTGCAAATTCCTATGATGAACAAATATTCCAGCTTTATCCGATTAAAAATAAACGATGTGCTTATCGAACCATGATTGCGTGTGTTTATCACAATAAATATTATTGATATCGTAGACTCTTGACCCATAAAAGCAGTACATTCATTACATGTTAAATTAATAAAATAAAAAACACGATGTATTTCCTTATTTGAATCGTGTAAAGATAAGATAATACTTTCTCCCCCACATGCACGCATATCGTGTGATACATTTTTCTATATTCTCATAGATTTTCCAGTCCGTGTAGAATCAATACGTCTCAATATAATTCCAATAGGAATAATAATCTGAACAACAAAAAAAAAAACGAGAACAAAAAGGATGCCGACTTTTTGAGAATTGACCGTTAGATTTTTTTATTAGGAGAATCAGTTCTCCGTGTAACTTCGTTAAGTGTTAAACAAGCCCACTTTACACGATACAATAGCACGAGTCTTTTGACGCAAGCCCGTCTCGATGAACCGTTATTTTGCGAAGTAAGCGTCATGCGTGATCGACACGGTCACTAATTGTGGTTGCACTCAGATATTTGCTACCAGTGCTGAAAATATCTATAATTCATGTTACATATACTATATAGATTTTCGATAGCGAATATCGGAAGAAAGCTATAGTAAAATAAAAGATGAGAGAAAAAAATGAGAAGAAAATAGGAAAAAAACGAAGCGAAAAAGATGGAAAATTATAGAATATACATTGCCTGTAATGAGACAGGCAATGCTTCATTTATATTAATATCTGTGCTTTTTCTTTGTCGATACGAACAAATTAAGGAAAATGTTTTATTATATAATCACCATAATCACCACCAATTTTTTTGCCATTCTTTCAGTTGATGGGCCTCGAAATTCCGACCGAATACGGTGGCACCGGTGGCAATTTCATGAGCACAATTTTAACCGTTGAAGAAGTCGCGAAGGTCGATGGTGCCGTAGCCGCTCTCGTTGACATTCACAACACTTTGGTAAACTCGCTGATCATCAAAGTCGCTTCCGAGGAGCAAAAGCAGAAGTATCTGTCTAAATTGGCACAAAGCTGCGTAAGTTATATCGCAAAGATTGCACACATTTTAGAGATTTCAGGAATAATTTAAATCAATATACGCGATAAAAGAACAATCGATACACAATATAACAAAGATAATTCTTTCAGGCTGGTAGCTTTTGCCTAACGGAACCCGGCTCGGGCTCAGATGCATTTTCTCTCAAGACCGAAGCGAAAAAGGACGGTGGTGATTACGTGATAAACGGCACGAAAATGTGGATTTCGAATTCCGATATCGCTGGAATTTTCTTGGTTTTCGCCAATGCGGATACTTCTGCGGTAAGTCAATTTTTACATATATTATTTGCATGCCATTTACATGTACATGAATGCTCATAAATATCTCGCTCATCCATGTTAATAGAATTTTACCTCCCAAATACTTCAAATTTTTTATTTAAAGTAGATTGTATCAACATATCAAGGCTCCTAATATATTTTTTCCCACGATTTACATTTTTGACAGTTAACGTATCAACCGTACGATATTTATTGATTTTCTTGCTTTAAAGTAAATAAATCTTATAAAAATCCCTCTACATTGCGTCCTTGAAAAATACTCGTACAGGGTCGCAAAAAAATGTTATCACACTTTATGTAGTTCGTTATAAACATTGAAAGCAAATTGTACGATATTTCATAAACACTTTTAAAAAAATCAAAATGTAACATTTTTTTACGACACTCTGTGCAGAAAAATTTATGTACAGGCAGATATAACAATATATTAGCGACAGTACATGTGTTTATAGCGTAGATAAAACTTAGTGATAGCAATATATCTTTTTCTTTTTTTCTTAATATTACAGGGATACCGCGGTATTACGACATTCTTCGTAGAGCGTGACATGCCTGGTCTGACGGTAGCTAAGCCCGAGGACAAGCTAGGTATCAAAGCATCCGGGACTTGTATGGTTCATTTCGATAACGTCAGGGTATGCGCGCCAGTAGGCCAACCTTATAACTTTTAATATTATCGTTATAGTATCGCGAATTTTTTGCCATATATTATATCAGCGCAACGATAATGTCCAATCAACAATAACGTCGCTGACTGTTGTTAACCCCTTGACATACAAATTAAATGGAACTTAATGCGACCAAAAAATACTATTTAATTTCGCTCAACTGAACAGTTATGTGAAAGCTGGGAAAGAGTACATTTTATTTTGAAATTTGGATTTTTATTAATCAGATTGATGTTAACAAAGAACATCTAAATAACATTAAAAAATAATAATTTAATAGTTCTGTACAGTATGGAATATTTCGAAACATTTTGGAACATGTAAAGGAACTAAACATTTTTTGCACTGCCACGTTGTTTCACTTCTTATGTTGTTTTTTACGCACACGCGGCATATCTTTGTAGGTAATTTCTTTTTGAGTCGAAGGAATATGTTCCGACAAATGTGCTCAACGTTTGGCCTGTAGCCGAGTCGGGTATTCATTTTGCAACGGTCTGCCACGCTTTGGGTAGTTAGGAAGAGACAAATTATATAGTATGTCTTCTGCAATATTCTGTAATATAATGCTTTTTTGTTCTTGGGCCATCTCGAACGTTATAAACAAACGAGAATCGACGCACGAGTGAAGCAACTATGTAATCTAATTGTAAACTGCACGGCGTCCGCCGAAAAAAGCGCTTGACGAGTCAGACTCGTCAAAGTCTACAGTGGCCCATGAAATGAATGACGAGTCAGACTCGTCATTGTATGTCAAGGGGTTAACAATTCTAAAATCAAGGATCAGGCTAAGATTATCTCTCATTAAACACTTTCATTTAAGACCGACACATGACTATTTCTCAATCTTACTTTCTTTCCCCACGTAATTTTCTATTTTCTATTTTCCTCAGGTACCCGAAAGCAACATCTTGGGTCAGTTTGGACACGGATACAGATACGCTGCTGGATTTCTCAACGAGGGTAGGGTCGGAATAGGGGCTCAAATGATCGGTATAGCTCAGGGTTGCTTGGACGCGACTATACCGTACACGCTGGAAAGGAAACAATTTGGAAAAGACATCTTCTCATTCCAAGTATACGGACACGAATTCTATTTTACTATTATCTTTTAATAAATCGCCGTGACCTTCTCTCTCTCTCTCTCTCTCTCTCTCTCTCTTATCTGGAAAATAACTTTTATTTTTAGTCGATGCAACATCAAATAGCCCAGGCTGTAACCGACGTGGAATGCGCCAGATTGCTGGTTTACAACGCAGCTAGGCTGGTGGACGCTAAGAAAGACGTTATGAAGGAAGCAGCTATGGCCAAATTAATCGCATCCGGTACACTATAATCCGTTAATCTCAATTTCCTCATGAACTCGAAATTGATATTTATAATAACGCACGTACGTTGCGTGCATTTACAGAGACCGCGGTGCGTGTCACTGCAAAGTGCATAGACTTCATGGGAGGCGTCGGATTTACGACGGATTTCCCCCAGGAGAAATTCTTCCGGGATTCGAAGATCGGCACGATTTACGAGGGTACGAGTAACATGCAGCTGTCAACGATCGCAAAATGTATACGCAAGGATTATTTGTAACAGCGGACGACACGAACTTCCCAAACTTTGTGATTTATACTTCCCAAACTTTGTGATTTATACTTAACTCATATAAAAACGTGTATTATAATTAAAAAATAAGAGATAAAGTATACTATTATTTTAAAGACATATTTTTTACTTTTGTACGATTTAATGAAGTTCAGAGAAATGTATATATTATAATCATGGTATATTTTATTTGAAAGTATTAAAAAAAAAAGACACGTTAAGAGATATGTTAAGAAATAAAAATTTAAATTTCACGATATGCTTTCTCACAATAAATATCTTTCTTCAAAGGACTTTTTACGGGAATAAGTTAAAGCGGATGAATAAATGGATAATGAGTAATAATATATGGAAGAAACTTGTTGCGTAGTGTTAGTAATATATCAAACAATTCTATGTACACTTTCAGTCCTACTTCCGCCTAATTCTATTTTTATTTTGGATCATGGGGCAATTTAAAGCCCACAAGGTCCGCAGTTTCTTTTATACTACGTTCACCTTTACCAGCGTATTGTTTCTGAATGTCTTTGTATGTTTGCTGAGACTTCAGATAACAAAGATATATTTCCGCCAGATTCTTCAACTCCTCCCTAGCTTTGCACAACACCTCGGACGTTTCCTTGTGAACATGCGCCTGTTCCATGACATACTGCAACATGGCATTCTCCTTCGTACTCCTGTTCTGCGAGACTCGGCGGAGTTGTTGCACAAGAGAGCGTACGATTTTAATATTATCACTCACAGCTGCCATGTTTCACCTAAAAACGGAGGAAACCATCAATGTAACCGTGTATTCGGGAAATTGTGCGTCTCGCGCTACAGATGTCACAAGAGTCTGAAGATAAATCATTACCAAGCGTTCGGATATTATTCGTCACCGCTGTGTCGTCGCTCTGATAAACTCCACCTCGTCCGTCGAGTATCGCGGCTCCTCTCTGGAGTCCCAGAAATCCGGCGGAACTCGGAGCAAGTCTCGCTCAGGGAATATGTGTATGCTGAGGTCGTTGAAAACCTCCCCGTATGAGAAGGAATTTTCCAACCGAGTCTCTGTAACATAAGGCCGAATGCGCAGTATGTAGCCTGTTGTGTCCGACACGTCTCCGTGCAGGTGATCGTCGATTATCCCTGAGAAGCTATTGGCGAGCAGGACGCAATTGCTCAGCCGATTCCCCCAATTGGCGTAGAGAAAATTATTCGTCAGCTGCCGGGAGCAATGCGGCATGTAGACGAGAGTCGTCGTCTCGGCCCGGACGACGCGTTTGCCTTCTTCATTCGTCTCGATGATTTCTATACCCAAAGCGCCCAACGCCCGTACTTCCTCGGGACAAAACGCCGGGTCGTACGCGTAAACGCGAGCGCCGTATCGCTCCTTCAGGCACAGCAGTAGCGCCAGCTGGCATCTCGGTGACCTGTACTGGGAGAATCGCCCTAACCCGTAGCAGACTACTTCGGGAACACCATTAGAGTTTAGAATGTTCAGCGATTCCGTCAGCTGGCTGAGAACGAGCCTGGCGAACGGCGTGTCCCCGACCTCGACCAGCGTGCTGCCAACCGTGCTGAAAATCGTCGTGAGAAGAGAGGAAAAACGTATTTTTGCGTAAGTCAGATTAACGGAGGTTAGGTTAGATTGAGTTAAGCCGTGACCTCGCTGTCGCGAAGCGGGACGTGCGATGACTTACCGGAGAAGGTGCTCGTAGTCGACCTCGCAATTCTCGGGGACCTGCGTCGTTCCTCTGTTTGAACGTTTCCTCTCGTTATAGTGTCTCCTTCGACGACTCACGACGAGCACGAACTCGTTCGTATCCGACATGACGCTCCGTCGCGTTCATCATCGCTGCCGCGAACGTTCGTCAGATGGCACCACTATCTCTGTGTGTGCGCGAGATATCGCGGCATAAAAATTCACTTCGACTCGTAGAATTTTCCGACCGACCGGTATTTGGCGCAGGTTGCTTTTTTTCTTTTTTACAATCGCGTGTCATGTACACACGCATAAATCGCGTAGTACGTAAATTGCCATTTTACATTGTCAATATTTTATCTTCTTATCGCCATCAAGACAATAGCGGTGTACAGTCGCGCGCAACAATAGTCGCGAGTCACATAAGGCAATCTCGTAAGGATCACCGACACTTTTTTCGCTTTTTTTCTTCTTTCTCCCCGTACAAAATAAAACAACCGAACCGAAGTTACATTAACCGTGCAAATACGAAGGTATACTTTCTCGGATGTTACACAGAGAGAGATAGGGGATCACCGACAATGTGAGCGCACAATTGATGCACCCGTGTGTACACGTACTCGACATACCCGACGATATTTCTTCGCGAATCATCTATTTCCACCGATGCGCACCACGATCTTTTTTTCTTGCAAAAACCCGACAACAATGGGAACTTCCGTTATGATAAAACGCGACGTAACCCGGGTACGCACAGTGCGTGTGCCTTTCGTCGGTGATCTGAACGAGTGGACGCGACGTTCGCGACGAGCGTCGCGGAAAAGTGTCGTGCGCCGTCTTACGTGCGAAGACATCAGGGTTTCAGGGTCGCTAAACTGGTCACGTCTCGTACGTATAACGCGTACGGGATTACGGCGACGAACGATGGTGCAAGGTAGTGGAAATGAGTCATTCGCTGCTACATGCCCGCTGCTACGAGCCGCCGCGTATAATCGAGCAAATAAGTCGCAATCGCGCCGCGTTGAAGACCGCCCGTCGGCCACGCACGAACGGTTAATCGATCGAGTCAAGTCGAAGCCGAGGGAAATTCTTACGTTTTATCCTCCAGTCTCTTGCCGAAGCCCGCCGTGGTTGCGGTGACTCGGAGTTTGTTCAAAGTGTGTCCGACCTGCGCCTCTTCGACTCGTTTCGAAAGCGTCCGCCCGCCGACGTTTGAAATCTATGCGTCGAAGTCTACGCGCGTGCTGTGGAGAAATATCACCGAGAATCCGATTCTCGCCGTTTTGTCCGCCGCGTACGAAGCACAAGGGACCAGTCGAGTTCAAAGCGCACGAAAGTTGGAAGATCAAAAGTATGCAAATTGGACGATCCGTTTCCGCCAAAGCGTCAGGGACGCGCGAATCATTCGTTCTCGAATATACTTTGAATTGTAATCGTATTATTTTGTGTGGCGAACGCGCCTTCTTCGCTTCGCGAAACGGTATCGAGTGTCCGGGTGATATAACTGATGTATTCAATTTCGAAATGTACAGTGCGCGGAAAAAGTATCTGCCCGTCTCTCTTCCCTGAGGAGATTCGATACGACGACGGGAGAAGCCGTGCAGATACAGTAGAGCCCCGTATAACGCCGGGGGGGGATACGACGGCATTATACGAGTCCCATCGGTTATTTATTGAGTTAGGTGAAAATATATATTTATAAGAAGCGTAAAATGATAACTTGAGAACGTTAGGTTTTTTTTTCTTACTTTAAAGGTTAACATAATTACACGAGAGAACAGTTCCAGATAGCACAGTTAGTTTCACATACGTTCTTTTAACGTGTGTAATATTGGATTGTAAAACGTTACGTGCGTTTAACGCTTTTAGTGCCGAACGACGATATATCGTCGCGTATCCGAAGGCGTCTTACTATTCGCATTGCGAGTGTATGCGTATGATTTTCAACAAATATTGAAATACAATTGGCATTACTTTATTCTTCCTTTATTTCGTAATACGCTGCTTTTTGAATTTTGTAAATATCATTTTTAGTTTGATTTTTATGAGCTTTTTCCCAAACCTTAGCAAATTCGTCAAATCGGCTCGGTATTCTTCGCATAGGTACGATACTTTCGCTCGGCACTAAAAGGATTAAAGAACATAACTGATATTTCAAAATAAATCATAATTTTCATCGTGAAATTCGACCATAATGTCATGAAATACAATGAAAATTAAAGTGTAATTCCGAAAAGTGATAGTGAAAAAATAAATTTTTAAAATATTAGGCATCGCAAAATCTACTGAATTAAATTGAAAACTGTGTATATATTAATGAAACGAGGTCAATTGAAAGGTCACACTTCAACAAAATGTTCCCGTCAGGCCTGGGTAGTTACATGCGTTCATCGCGCGTTATTTATGTAAAGCCACGCCTAATGACACACGCTCGGTATATTTGTCGATAAAAAGAATAATTCCACAAATACGGGAGATTAAGAATTTTAATATTAATCTACCGCGTGATACGGGGCTGAGGCGTCGCGCGAGGACTGTCACAATTTTTCCCGTCCGCGTGTTATTCGAGTCCGCGCGCGAGTTGGGGGGGGGGGTGATCGTGTCAATGTTCAATGTTCGTCTACTGTACTTGTTCTCACCCACTCTGAATGAACGTTGTTGGAATCGCTCAGACCTTGCGACATCCTCTTGTCGTCTTTGTAGATCTCGTGTGCCGACCTATATACACGCTGATGGTCTTCGATCACGGTGCACGTGTAACTAACGCTAAAATGCCGCTAAATTATCGTAAGGCAAGGTACAACGAGTGGGTGTTGCGGTGTCGCGCCATCGAGTGATTGTACCTGATGCCGCCCGCCAATTATCACAATGTCTGTCTCCTCGGGAACGAACAAATGTACCTCAAGACTAGTCGTCGTACTGCAGCTGGCCACCTGGAGCGCGGTCAGTATCGTCCTGCTCCAGAAAGGTGTCAGTTCCCTGCAGAGGAGAACGCTAGAAGCGACTAACGTTAGCGAGGTAATCGACACTCGAAGTCCGCCTTTTTTTGTTTTTCCGGCCGAACTAGCCACACTAGTTCAAGAAATGCACGCACACCGAAGCGTAAGAATCTCGCACGTGCTCGTTTCATACGTTGCAATGTGTGCGTAATGTACGTAAATTTCTTAAACTAGTGCAGCTACTTCAGCTAAGAAGAACGGACTATCGGTTGAATCGTCTCTCGCTTTATGCGTGTATGTACGCGTGTGTACGCTCGCACGGAGAAAGAAGGTCGGTCGAATTAAGGAGATGCCTCTTGAAAATTCTACCGACGGAATGCCGATTTTTTCCACAAAGTTTACATATTGTTGATTGCGTAGAATTGTATAAATTATACTTCTACACGGTGAAAATACGTGCTGAGATGAAAATTGGAGCACTATTCAATGTGCGACGAGAACGATGAAAATTTTCAAAATTGACATTTCATTTTCAGGAAAATTTCATAGATTATCTTTATATCTTTTCAGTGAAATTTCGAAGCTTATGAAGATACGAGAAGTTTGTAGAAAAATTTTTGCACAATTTAGTTGGATTTTCCGATAGATATAGTGAAACGAAGTAGCGCACATTTATCCCGTTCACGATTTATGTCACGATTATGCTTATGTAAGATTTGTATGTAAAGAAATACAAAAAGAGTAGCGTGATCGTGTCAATGTTCATGTAACATAATATTTTGAGGATCGCCTCTATATTATTCAGCGAACGCCATTTAACGGTAATATCGACCCTGTAATTTCCCACTCAACAATGTAACTGTTACATAACACACGCATCATATCGCATTTCCATTGTCGAATGAGAAATTATAACATTCAAGAACGCGGTTTGGTTTGCGTTCGTCGCGTTAAATTAACTGAACTTTTTCCTGCGGCAAACGCAGCGATCGAGCGAGCGGGTCTCTCGGCAAAGCGGATCAATTAGATCAATTAGATCAATTGGAATTACTTTTCCGCAGGCGGATCCATCATCGATCGGCGCTCCGAGCATTCAGTTCGGCACCGTGTCATCCGTGAAGGACACCGAAAACAAAACACCGAGACAATCCGTCGACAAGATCGCGGAGGTGGTCATTCGGTTTAACACGGGATCGGCTCGACGGGACTGGAACCGTTCCGGATTAAACGTGATCAGGAGCGAGTTGGGGGACGAATTTGAGATCGTTTCGGAGGAACGACGATCCACGTTGCCGGACCCTCTCGAAATCTCGACGACTAATCCGGAAACGTCGAGAGGAAGCTCGTCGCGAGCGGACAACCGCTTATCAGACGAGCATGATCCCATCGATAAAAGCACATCGAGCAGGTTCGCGAGAATCATTCACGATAAGATCGTCGGCCGTGGGATCTCGGCGAATATTCGCGCGAGGGAGAACATCGCAAGTCCGGAAGAATCCGTTTCGCAACCGGTGAAGGGAGAAAATAGCCGCGTGAGAGGAAAGGACATAAATTTTCCGGAAAACACGTCGCGATCTGTGACGTCACCGACGTCGACCGTACGAGGAAAAGCCGACCAGCTGTCGTCGATGTCAGATTCTCTCTGGAGGAGGAAGGACGAGGCGCAATTTTCGCGCCGCGTAAGTGCCAGCGGGGCCGCGATGGCCGTCGCTATGGTAGTGATCGGGACTATCATGCTGTTGCTGGGGCCGGCCGTAATTGTCTTACGATTGCTGGACGAGAGGAGGCGAGCGAGGAAGTCGCAGAATGAGTTATCGGACGATACCGCGTGGCAAGATCTGCCGCCAACCTATGAACAGGTAGTCCTGATGAACGAGGAAGCGCCGAGGTACTCGACGCTGGTTTTCAGCGGCCGGCTTGATGATGACGCACGTTTGTCACCGTCCCCACCGATGCTTTCACCTTCGCCCTCACCTGCACCTTCACCTACGCCTCCATCTCCATCGCCTTTCTCTCACGCTTACGGCTCTTCTCTGGATCCTTCCGAAATAAAATTACATTCATGTAGATGAAGTATCTCTCCGAACAGCTTCATCGTGATGCTGTAAGGAGAAAGACATCTCTTTGCCCACCCGTTTTATACAAAATAGTCCATCTTAGCTTAGCTACGGTCCTTAGGAATTTCGAGGTTTCGTCATAGTTTTTTATACAAGGTGTCGCAAATCAGCATGGACGAGCTTCGTGAGGACGTAAAACGGATCGAACAAGAAAGTCCCGTATCTCTTTGCAAGCAACATGCAAAGTTTCGAATTATTAATTATCGATAATAGTCATGCACAGAGGCTTCTTTAATTGATAGCTCAAAAATTTGCACGTTATTTGCAAAGTCGCGAGAGATATTTTTGCTCAGAGTGGCCTAATCTACAAATGTATGGCAGAGGACTTTTTTGTTCACTTCTGTCTATTCTACGCTCTCGCTAAGTTTGCTCATGTTGATTTGAAGCATCCTATATAATTATGAGCCCCGAGATTTTATTTGAGAAGGAAAAAAAGGATATATGTATTGCATTTTTAACTTATCAAGAAATATTATATATAAAATATAACTTTGCGCTTTTTAAGTTAGAAGTTAAATCTAGTTTGCGAAGCAAAAGTATAATTGAAATCTTCGGATACTTCTTTTTAGAGTCTGCACGAGATCGCACGGATAAAAATATATATTTTAAAGATGCATAATTAGAGTTATAGAGTCGAGAATATTCGTTAGAAAGTTAATATTTTTTAACAATACTAAGGAATATGATTTAAAAATATCATCAAATGTCAGCAACTTAAGTTCGCACTGGAATAAGAGATACAAAAGAGAAAGAGAGATTTGTATACTTATTTTTTTAGTAGATTTACGATGACACACGATCTATTCTTGTGATCATGTAAGTACAATAAAGTTTTAATATTAATAGAATATATATGATGTTTATTTTTTTTATGATCACAGTTATTCCTCCTTTGTAACCCGACAATTTTCAATAATACGATCGCTACCGATATTTAAATTGTTATATATATACGTTCTATGTGCACGCATGCGCAAATGCGAAACGCGAGCGGATCAAAATTGAATGAATCGCGCCGTCTCGCATTGAGCGATATAATGCAGTCGACCCATCCAAGATGGTGCTGGAAAGTACTATGATATGGTGAGTCTCGCATTTGCAAAGATTCACAACTTCGTATCGTCTTTTGTGACAATTTTATCCATCTTACGGAATTTGTTTGTCATAAGTAAGAAGTCTCGGCAAAAATTTCCATGTTGATTCAATTCTATACGTACGTAGCCGGTCAAATTGCCGTTTTGAGGTTAACGCAATGACAATGACATGACAATCTTACACGTTAAACCATGGAAACATATTCGTTACCAAACAATCTCAAGAAACTATTTCTAATGTTTACATATTCGAACTAATAATGCGCAATATTAACTCTGTAGCGTCGATAACAGCGATTACATGAGAAATGGGGATTTTATGCCCACACGCCTGCAAGCACAACAAGATGCTGTCAACTTGGTGTGTCACTCCAAAACCCGTTCAAATCCGGAGAATAACGTCGGTCTTATAACGCTTGCTAAGTATGTCCTTAATTGCGAAAGAATGTGATTATTGATGTAATGATCCCGATACTTATAACTGTTTGTACATAAGAACTTCTAATAAGTTAAATCTAAATAGTTTCCTGATCTTTGCAGTGTTGAAGTTTTAGCAACACTCACGAGCGATGTTGGCAGAATATTGTCAAAGCTTCATCAGGTTCAACCAAATGGAAAGTTGGCTCTTGTCACAGGTATCAGGATTGCTCATGTAAGTGCATACTTCTTGCTTTGATGATATATCCAAATCAATTTGTAAACTTGAGATTTTGCAAAACTTACAGTTAGCTCTGAAACATCGACAAGGCAAGAACCACAAAATGCGTATCGTTGCATTTATCGGCAGTCCGATAGACATCGACGAGAAAGAACTGGTGAAATTGGCGAAGCGTTTGAAGAAGGAAAAAGTGAACGTTGATGTCATAAGCTTTGGCGAGGAGAGTGTCAATAACGAGGTATTGACGGCCTTTGTGAACGCATTGAACGGCAAGGATGGTACCGGGAGCCATCTCGTCACCGTTCCACCAGGACCGCATTTGTCGGACGCTCTCATTTCCTCACCGATCATCCAAGGCGAAGACGGGATGGGTGCCGCTGGTATGGGCAGTGCCGCGTTTGAATTCGGTGTCGATCCGAATGAAGATCCCGAGCTCGCATTGGTCGGTAGCTTTAACGTGTATTTTATCATTTTCTCCCTCGTCGAAGATATCACGTGATTTCATGTGACACTTTTGCAGGCATTGCGCGTTTCTATGGAAGAGCAACGGCAGCGGCAAGAGGATGAAGCACGTCGCGCGCAGGCGAACGATACCACCACGACTAAGCAGCCGGAGACTATAAAGGAAGCTCCCAATGAGGAGGCCATGTTGAAGCGTGCTCTTGCTATGTCTCTCGAAGGCGCCGATGACTCGGCTGCCACCACCGACACCACCGCTCCATGCAGGGCGAACGTACCGGACTTCACTAATATGACCGAAGAGGAACAAATTGCTTTCGCTATGCAAATGTCCATGCAGGATCAGCGTGAGTTCTCGACCGATCAGTTCATTGATATCTTTATCGTACTCGCAGTCGCTTGTAAATTCTGATTATCATCATCTCACAGAGGAGCTCGAGTCGCAGAAAGAAGAGGCGATGGATGTGGAGGAGGATTACGCAGCCGTCATGTCCGATCCTGCTTTCCTACAATCGGTTCTGGAAAATTTGCCGGGCGTAGATCCGCATTCCGAAGCTGTGCGCCAGGCTGTCGGGTCGTTACAGCAGAATAAAGATAAAGAAAAGGAGAAGGAGAAGGAGAAGGACAAAGAAAAAAAATAAACAGCTTCTTTTTCTATTTAGTTCTTTCGTATTTACGATAATGTCATTTGATATTTTCCATTATTATGTATGATATTGTAGCTAATTTGTCCTGCTGCTTGATGAAATATATTATCAATTTCTCGAAATTTTAAACTCCTGTGTGTTGAATTATCGGAGGGGTGTATTTGTTGAATACGGTTCAGAATATGTTGTAATACATCGCATTGTTGACATAAATGTGTCCTGGGAGGATTTTTCATTTGAGATCATTTGAGATCAATTGAATTTTGTAAGATTTTTAAGCTGTGATACATTTTCAAACGATCGAGATACGAGTACGCACGTTTTTTTTCTAGGTATTCATTACGACCGATGTCTAATGTGCGACGTTCCGCCATCCAATAGCAGAGTTCGTTTCCTAGGAACTCTGGTTGGCGACATTTTTGTCTGTAGGAATAAAGCTCTCGCGTTGGGTGACGAATGTTGCATAACCTGATTGCACAAAACGGTTGCACATCTTGTCGGATGATTTTTGGAGCCGGCGAAAAGTTGCGAGAACGATCGTTTGTGGTTTCTCTGTTTCGATGGTGTCACACACAGATGAAACGGATGCAGATTGTGCAATGATGTGATCAACATTACCTCGTACAGGTCTTCTGATTTTGTTCTTATTTTGATCGCGGCTCATCGGTCTTCGATTCGACCGACGCTCCGACAACGACTGCTCATGCTCACTGTGAAATTTAAATCGACAAAATGGCGCCGCGAAGGAAAAACTTTCAAACGTCACGACAATCGTTGAACAACGTTTGTTACAAGGAGAACAATTATCTGTGTTGCCTGAATGATTATCAGACGAGAGTTCGCCGACGAGAAAGCATCAGGAATTTGAGGAATCACGTGGTGAGTCGAATTGGCGAATTTTTTTAACTCTGTATACACAGCGTGATCCGACGTTGACATGCGCTTTTAACATTGCTTTGTATCTCGTCTCATTGAGATTTTTCTAGCTTGTGTTACTCGATAACAATTGATAAGCGTATGTTCAGGTTTGTTTCGCGCAATTTCGCCTACTTGTTGAGACACGACATATGGAAGTTGAAACTGATAGGTTATGCTTGTGGCAGCTATGTGATAAATTTATGAATTGCAATTGAAACGTTCGCACGTCTTTAGAAGGATATTATAAGGTAAAGTTTGTGTAATGTCAAAATCGCTCTCGTAAATCTCTTCGATTATGGAAAAAATAAGAAGAAATGTAAATGTTACACAAGTTATCACGTGTTTCTCTCTTATACAGTGATTTTGCAAAGACACATTTTAACAGAAATCCTTTACATCAAAATATGTTCTTTCAATACACTCTATAATGAAATTGCAAACAGTCACGCGTGATTAATTATTATGCTAGAGTCATTTGTAAGAATAACGAAACTATGTTATGTTACTTGCAATACCATCTTGAATATCAGTATGAACCAATAGAATTGACATTTCATACAAAGAACGTTCTATATTTCATTCACAATAAATTATGTAAATTCCAAATATCACAACAGTGGTACATCGGCAAAATGGAGTATTTCAGGCATTTATTAAAGCATTTGGAGGCATTCTTACCTTAATATCTATTTAATGATCTATTTAATTATGAATATCTATTTAATATCTATTTAATGAGTTCACGCAATTACGGGATAATAACAATATTTAGGAAGTAATTAGTTGGGTTTATCAACGGGGAAATTCAGCGAGATAAAGCGACGACGATAGGAATATATGATTACCTGAAATCTACGCTCGATATAAGAACCGAGCTTAGGACATTAAGGATGAAACATTAGCGACTAATGAGCATTAGTATAACAATGAAATGAATATATATGGTTTGGTGGATGCGCTCGGGCGCGATACGCACGCCCGGCCGGTTTCCTAGATAATTTCGGCGATAATTAATCTAATGCACACAACCAAATGTGAGAGTCCGGCGGATGCCCGCAGCGTGGGCGATTCCTCCCCTCTCTCCCTCCCGGAGAGCTCCGCTCTCTTATCCAAGCTGCGTTCAATCTATTGTCGGTTAGAACACACGCCGGTGGTCCTCCCCTCCCCGGCCGCGCTGTGCATGTGCTGTGCGTCCTGTTGATGCTTACACAGTCGAATGATCGAGCGTCATTCAGTATTAGTCGAGTGCTTCCTCACGGCTGTGTGCGTGAACGGTGCGCGTCTTCCTCCTCGTTTTTTTCCTCCTCTCTCGCGCGCGGCCAAGAAACACTTTTAGATTCTTATGAAATACCGCATTCGTCGCATCTAGTCCGATATTAATTAAATGTCAAATCCGATCAACCACCGTCATCTTCTTCCGCAATCCTGCGAGACAGCGCACGTGCAGTGGAAGATGCCGATACCGAGGAATACTTTTTCCTGCTTTTCCGATGATGGTGAATCATGATGCATGGCTGGGCGTCAACTACGGAAACGGAGGGCAGGAAGGAAATTCGGCGAGACAAGCGAAGGAACGAGTGAAGTATTTGGAGAATCGAGGGGGCGAGGAGCGACGACGACGGCTCTCTTGCTGACACTTATTTGTTGTCCTCGTATCGCGCGGAGGCGCGTCGTATCGCGTCACTGCTTATTTTACGGCTAACGAAAATACGTAGGACGACGGCCGTCGAAAGACAGAGATAGCCGCTCCTCTGTGTGTACACACAGATCGAGGCAACACTCTTCTCTCGGTGTTGCGCGACGCTTTTCCCGCGTTAACGAAGAAAAAGTCCCGAGAAGGTCCTCTCGGATATACATGTGTGGCAACAACATCGTTCTCACTCTTTCTTTTTCGTCCGAAAATTGACGTTTGAGAATTCTCGCGAGGTTCTCGTCGCTGTTGTGTAAAAAATCCTGAAGAAAGAGGAGCTCCTTCGCGTCTGTCCCACCTTGACTCGGATTCCTCGCGAGAGTGCGAACCAAAGGACAACCGCCGCCTACTCCGGCGGGCTCTTTAAGATCTTAGGTCAAGGTTTCCAGGGGGGGAAAAAACGCGTGCCAAAGCCGTTCGCTCTAACGTCACGCGCGCTATGATATTCCTCGCGGGACGCTTCGTGTTTGGAAAAGCCGCCGCTCTGGAGGCGAGTTTCGGGTCGGGTAATGCGTGACCTGTAACAATGCGTGTCCCGGGACGCGATCTCGAGTCATCGGAATCGGAGTAACTACGGGTGCGCGCGTTACTCTCTCGATCAACACAACAAGACGATGTAAATCGGCCGACAACGACGAGCGACGACGAGCATTCATATATTCGGGAAACAAAGGTGGAGAAAAGAGAAGAGAAAATGGACTCCTGCTTCCCGCATCTGGCGATACTGAATCCGCGAAATGCGAGTAAACCCCGGCGGCTGAACGACGGCTGCAACGTCGCGGGCGAGGACGTTCGCACGACCCGGTCGAGGAGCCCGACGTTGGCCGGCAAGAACGACGTCTTCCAAGACTTGGACCTATACTACGTTCGGCAGATCGCGCGAAACTCGAAGGTAGGGGATCCGTCCCGGCGTGAATTCTTGGGGGAAACTCGCTCGTGGTCGAATTGTTGCGGCCACGGAGGAGAGACGCTGCGCATTTCACGGAAGCCCCGTTTCCTCGCGAGAGTCGTTCGTATTTTTAGACGCCGTCGTGTGATATCGCGTCGTCGGTCGGTCGCTCGGCTGGACGTACGTACGGACGGCAGTGTCAAACGGATTTGAAATTTCGTCCGAGTAATACGGATTCTGAGTAAGATTCATGTGTTGACGCTGTTGGCCGATTCGACCCTCAAAAGCCTCACGAGCGCGGATCGATCGCTCGCTGATCGACGATACACACCGTACGGGAGAGAAATTAGTATCGACATTCAAGGCCTATGTTCTCTTACATAAGAAAGAATATGTAATCTTACGTGAAGATAAGACGCTCTTGCATGAAGAAATTTCGTATAGTTCCGCTATAAAATATATTCTTATTATCTGGACAATTTTTACGAACTGGAGAAGGAAAAAATGTCGCAGATAAAGGGAACTGTGTCCTCAAACTAATACAATTTTTTCTGAAGATATCGTTCTTTCTGTCCGATCCATTTTCTCCTCTCGATTCGCAAATATTATTCTCGAACAATGAGTATATTTTTAGTGGAATTGTGTAGAATTTTCTTCGTATAAGAGCAAGCTTTGTTATAAAATTACGATGAAGCGGTAACTATTATCACCTTGAGAAAAATTATACGATTCCATTTAAGAAAGTAAAGATGAGCTTCAAATCTCTTTGAAGCTATTTCATCTAGAAAAAGAAGCGTTCACCATAAGACGACCATTTTCTGTACCATGTGATTTCTTTTAAACAGATTTGTCTTCTCATAATTTCGAAAATATTCAAGGTGGTGATCCAAGATGGCAAGTTAGTGCTTTTCACCCTGTATATTCTTGTTTACATATGCGAATACGAATCTTAAATTGATACCAATTTCTTCTCTGCGTGACGGAAAGTATCGTGATCGCATCTTCTGGTATTTTCAATTGCACTTCTCAACGCAAGCATACCTCAAAGATTATCAACGACACGTGTGCCGATCTACACGTAGTTCGGTATTTATTGAAAACTTCATTCCTATCGGGCGAGAAACGAGAACCTCCTGAAGGAAAAGAGAGAAAGAAGGGGAGACAAATCATTTTCCCCGAGAAGTACGTTTCGCAATTACGGTCGGTCCCGTCGATACGACCCCCACGCGCGATCGCGTTTTATTTAAACGTAGCGCTTTTACGGTCGACCGATCTCTCTCCCCACGACAACGACGTTGTGAACGGGCATCCGGGTTGTCGTCGGATGCTTCTCATGGGAGAGGATTTACGCGAAAAAGGGAAGAAGAGACGCGCTTCTCGCGGTGACCATTACGGGCGCAACCGCGGAGCGGAGGGTATTGGATTTCTGGCGACTATTTTCGGCAAAGACCGAGCCGTGTGTGACGGGAAAGTGTGGTGGGCAACCGCGGAGAGAAAGTGGTATATCGAAGGGGGGAACACGCGTAGGAACGAAGGACGAAGCGACGATGACGACGAGCGGGATCGAGGGGGCAGAATGAAACACGGACGGACGAGAGAAGAGAGAGAGAGAGAGAGAGAGGCGTCCGATGGCAAAACGTACACGCGCGCGTATCTAGTTAATATTAATGTAACGCGTGTCGCACGCGCGTCGAGTGATAACGCGGGCCAAAGGGAAAGGTTCAGAGATGTAGCGGCGAATGCGCGTGCGTATTGTTATTGCTACATCGTACGTACTTCTTACTCACGTGAACTCGTTTGTCATATACAGCGCTCGCTCGCTCGCTCGCTCGCATCAACGAGTCCCATCAAGACTCGTTTACCGGCCACCGAGGTCAGGGATTAAATGTGGACGCGCTTACCCTTCGCGTCGTTGCAAAATTCCTATTCCAGAGTCGGAATGTACACACGCGTGTGTACACGGCTGTGATGTATTCCCCACGCCGCGAGTCACACACTCGTCGGGTGTGAGGAAGAGGATGTGTCGCGCGTTAACGGAATACGAAATCGATTGGTCGATGCGATCCAATGATTCATCTCCTCATTATTGATTTCGCTGATGCCGTCCGTTATTTCCGGATTGCACGCGTCACCCGGCTATCACGGAAATTAATGGACTTGGTGTCGGCCGTTTCCAGCGACTTCGCACACGTGCTGTATTTTTATCCTTCTCTCATCGAGGCCGATGCGTTCCTGTTTTTAAATGCGTGTTAGTGATTTTGTTTTTTTTTTTTCATTTTCAAAAATCATCAAAACGTGCACGTTGCACGTGTAATTTTTCTCGATCTCTTACGTTTTACGTCACCGAGAGAAAAGATATTTATTCGGTGGGTGCTGATAACATGGTTTACTAAAATCTAAATTCTTTTACTTAAATGTATAATTAACAATTGCTCCTCCACGTGGAAAGATGCAGATTTAAAAGAATGTGTATGCTTTCTCATTTGAAAAAACTCATTTTCAAATACAAGAACATATATATATGTTCTTGTATTTAATATAACATATATATATATTAGTATAAATGTTATTAGCAACCACCGAATAAATATTGCTTATTTCTTCGATATTTCTCCTTTCCAGTGTAGACGTCACGAAATTACGCAAAAATAAGTTCTGTTGAATCTGTTGAAAAAGTCGTTTTCTTTGCATCTTTGTCAAGAAGTGATGCAAAGTTTGTGACGAGACTCTGTAAGATTTCAGTCATTTTAATGATGACATCATTATGAAACAGTTGATATCTTGCGGGAGTATAAAAATGGAAGAGAGTTGCGAATCATCCGCGGTGCATGCGATTTTTCCCGACCGCCGGCGGGAATAATCGTGCGATCTTGTACGCGTGCCGGTTGTAAGGCTGAGAAAAGCCACTCTCGGATCGATATTCCGCGATAGCATGGTTTCCCGAGGGTAGAAGGAGGGAGCGTCACCCCCTCAAGTGCATTCACCACTTCCTCGAATAGTCGGTATTTCAGTCCGATTCCGCATGCTGCCAGCAGCAACGCCGCGCGAGATCCGCGCCAATTTATTTGCGCTTTTGCGAAGTTTGCTTTTTCCCACGACCGGGCTGAATCGTCTGTTCGCGTCGTCACTACCGTCGTATTCCGTTTCGCGGTGGATTACACAAAGTGGCGGAATTTTATGATCGAAACGAAAGATGAGCGAGAAAGTCACGTTCCCTCAGGTGGTTATCGCTCGCTGGAATATTATTTCAGTCGAGATGGACGTTAAATTATTTAGTTTTTATTTAAATTCACGATATTCTCGCGCTCTCGAAAAAAATACGCACGGAGAAGACAGATGGGTTGAATTCACATGACAATGAAACAGACCGAACGCGTTTCGTGGAGAAGGAAACCAGAATTTCTTGTTCTTACGAATCAAATTTGGTTCTTGTAACCAGAAATTCCGTTTCCTTCAACGAAATACGCATATAGTTTGTTTATTTCGGGCTCGAACTTAACTGTTTCTTTTTCCGCGCAGAAGATCACTTATGAATCTTCCCTTTTAGCGTGAACTCCTGAAAAGTGAGAAATCTTTAACGTGAAAGCATATATACGTGGAAATGTTCACTTTTCGCGAATGAGGAGAAAATTTAACACGAGGAGGAGAAAAGATCGGTCACGAATAACGTGATAATGAACGGACCGGACGCGCGTTTTTATCGAAGGGAACAGAATTTGGTTCTGAGAGGAACCAAGAATTTTGTTTTCCCTTTAACGAAAACGCGTCTGATTTTCAATTGTCTCGTTCAATCGTCACGTCTCAATTCGACCAATCTTTTTTTCTCCGTGACACTTTGGATTGATGGCTATGAATGGATGGCTTTTCACGCAGGCTCGTAAAGCGGTGAGCGTGATACCTTCGTAAAATGTGACGGTGTAAGACGTTTCGTTCGATGCTTGTAACTCGATGCCGCGAACGCGTGACCCACGTGGCGCGTCAGCCAGCCGGATGCTTTTATCGCTGATACTTCCGATTTTTCCCCCGATCGTAACGTATCGGCCCGTCTTTTTTTACGTCGCATTCAACACCTGCGGAACACCTGTGGATCGATATTACGCTTTCTAAGACGGCTATGATTATACGGAGGTTTTCGAAACGATTCGCCCCTTTCGACTCGGTCTCTCGAGAATTCCCGTCACGAGATCTCCTAATTCGTCGTAAGCGATGCCCGATGCAGCTGTTGAAATACCGACACGAACGGCATTTGTTTCAGGAGTACGATCTGGAACAGAAGATCGAGGTGGAGATCAAAATGAGAGAAGGCTCGGCCAGGCTTTTGGCGGCCGCGAAACACCGCGCTCAGAGCCTGGAGGCCGCGAGAGCGCTGCTCACGTCCAACGAGAGAATGTCGGTTTACATGGCGGAATTACAGACTCGTCGCCGGGATCCTGTTAAAAAGCCGTGGTTTGTCCCATGAATTTATTTGCCCACATCGAAAAACAAAAATGCTGTTAAAGTAATATTTACCCGATCCAAGTAAAATGGTTATATACTCCTTGGCAAATATTTACTAAAAGCAGAAATATGATTGGTTATGCACAATATGATATTTTTCTCGTTCGTATAAGTAGACATATTTATTTGTACATGTTAAAATAATTGCGAGAAGTTAAATTCATCATTTGTCAGAATTTGTCTTTAGAAAATATTTGCTGGACGGACAAATCTAAATATTTAAATCACTTAGTTTCTTCAACAGAAAAGAAGTATTAATTCATACATAATTCTGGTAAATTTTTTCAAGTTTAGTCTATCGAAGAAATTACACAATTATTGTGACGAATTGTTAATCGATTCAATGATTGCGATATGATATGGCCGTCGATTTTGTCGATCCGATCGCTTTTTTCTTTCAACGTAGATAGATAGATAAGCAGAAAGTGGAGAGACTAATTGAATAACGCGCATACTTTCAGCATTCCTGGAAGCACGGGCAAGCTATCGATTTCAGACCTTAGGATACCACTGATGTGGAGGGATTCGGATCACTTCAAAAATCGCGGTGATCATCGTCGATTCGCGGTATTCTGCTTAGCACGGCTGGGCACGGAAATTCATGATACTTCTTTATTGTGCCCCGTCGACAGGGCCCACACGGATATCAGCTTTCCCGACGTTTTAATCTTGTGAGTCCTCTTTCTCTCTCTTTCTCTCTGTATTTCGATAATCAATGTTATTCCGTTATTAGAACTTAATTAAGCATCAGGCGCAAGGTTACGAATTACAGAGCTTAGGCAATCGGTGACAATACATAAAAATGATGTGACGTTTCTGCATGACGTTTTATGACGAGTAACCGATATCTGATTTTCAGCAACAATGTGCCGGCCGAGTTCGAGTTGGTGTTGGAAATCTACAGCCACGTCTTGCAGGAGGACTTAAGTATCGCCAGCACGCCGAGAAGAATCAAAAAGACGATTCACTCGTCGATCTCGAAAACCGTCGGCAAGAAGCTCGCCGCGTCGCTTCGCGACGAGTTCAGTTCCGGGAAGTCGTAAGTCCCACTGTTTCCCTCTCATGCGAGCGTGTCAATTAAATATTTGCTACAAGGTAATTGTATATCGAACGATCTTTCTCCCTTCAGCGGGCCACACTTTGACTTGGTTGCTCGTGCAAGGTTGACTCTGGACGACACAGACGATAACATTCATACGCACGATCTCGTTATTAACAGCGTTGGTAAGTCGCACGAGGGTTGCGCCGCAAATTTGAAGATTACGTTTACACGGATAATTTACGTTATTGTCTGTATGTTGGCGGTTACACAGACATTTTTCATGTAGACGATGTAGACTATGTGAAATATTGCAAATTACACGGTGCAATTCAAAGAGAAAGGATAAATTATTCATTTAAACTAGTTCGAGGGATCGCATACCCTTGCCGCACACGAAAATGACTCCCCATTTTTGGGAATTATTTTTTCAGTAAATAACACACTGATCAATGCAGAGTTTTATTTTATTTTATTCGTTGTATATCCGAATGTTAAAGAAATGTTACAATCGCGAACTGTCGAGGGGATTTCTTAATTTATAAAAATTCACGAAATTAGGTAAACTTGAAACAAAAAATGCACGATTTTGTCCCAAAATTTATCCACTTTTTTCTCCGCAAAATCTGACCTATTTGAAATATTTGAATTTTCGAGAAATTTTCAAGAAACATCGCGGTTTTTCCTTCTTTTTTCTCCAGAAAATAAGTATCACTCTCTACCGCTTTTCGGTCACTTCTGTTGCCGATTGGCGGCACAGCCGGAATGCGTCAGCAAGGATATGTGTATCGGCAGCGTGAATGTGGACAGTCAAGATTGTTGGGCACGCTTACAAGGATTCTCGATAAAAACGTGGGAGTCAAAGAAGCACGCGGAGGAGGCTCAGAATCCAGAACGTGTGATTCCAATTAATAAGGTAAGTCTCGATATCTTTATATCTACGTATACGCATCGATTGCGTTCAGCGAACACTTGAATAATCGACTTTCGGTGCGACTTTGGTCTAGATCTGTAAATAATTCTTACTCAACGGTTATATAACCGTTGTGTTCACTGAACGTAACCATTGTAAGATTCTTGTAATACAAGCTTTATTTCAATTTCATACTCGTAGGAAACATCGGTTCAGATAGCCAAGTCTTCCGCCAAAGAGCTCTTGATCAATAATCTCGGCAGTAATGCGAGCAAATTATTGCTTATTAAATTCGAATCGAAGGAAGAAGCTCAAAAGTGGCTGAAATTATTATCTGCCCACATTAATGACCATTCGAGGTGGAAACGTGCTGCTGAGGTTATACAAAGAGTATCCAGTATCGAGAGTACGAGGAATTCTTTTATCAGCAATAAAAGACAAGGATCTTTATACGACGAAACTCCTTTAATCGGTAAATCCGTTAAATTATCACAAACATTTATTATTATAAGCATTTTCTGAACTTACCAAACGAGATAAACCATTCTCACGAGCGCAAAGCAGTCATCTGGTACTTTCTTCTCTTGCAGAATCAATCCCATCGGATTATATGCCTGCGAGATCAACTGTACAAACGATTTTCGATCTCACACCTAGTACTAGTCTAAGCAGTTCTAGTTCCACGAATAGTCTAACGAGTCTGCGTTCACGTTCGCTGAGTATCGGTGGTGCGTTCAAACAAAGTACCATTGCCTTGAAGTCTCACTTAGCTTCCTCTAATAAAAACGAAGTGTAATGACTTGAGGTTTTTTTCCGAGAAATCCACCTATCTGACACGTCCGAGTTGTCTCTCTCTCTCTCTCTTTCTCTCATCACAAGGCGAATAGACGTTGGAGATTTCACTTTTCACCTACGTATTCGAATATTACACGATATACAAGCTTTAATTCGAGATTGAAATGGAGAAGTATAAAAGTACAGTAGGAACATGCAAATTGTATAGTAAAAATATATATACAAATGGTATAATAAAAGTATACAAATTGTAGTTTTTCGATATACTGTTCTCCAATTTAATTACATGAGGAAAATTTTTTAAGTCAAGATCAAGGACAGTGCCAATAACAATTGGTAACTTGGAGTGTAAGCTTGTTGGACAGTGATATATAGTACAAAGTATTTCGCTTAAATGGTTTCCTCTTCTCTTTTCTACTTTTATAACGGAAAATTATCGCGCTCAATAAGGTGCGCAAAAACAGCCTCGTAGCATAACGCATTTGTAAGTTTATTACAGAATTTGTAGGAGCATTGCAATATTTAGTTTACTTAAGGGTACACGTTTAATATGGGTACGTGTTAATATGTGGTATGTAGAATATTCAATGTAATATCTATAATAATATATGATCAATCGAGATATAACTAAGCCATTTATTATTTTTAAAAGTTCTATCATGCAATTTCCTACGTCCATGTAACTTGGAAAGACAATTTTAGCAGAATATTTTTATGTTACATCATATATATATATTATGTGTGTGTGATTTAATCAATATGACTATAAATGTATATTACAGTTATATGACTAAGAATATTTTTTGAAACAATATGTTTCTAATTTCTAATGTAAATAAATACCTTAGGTTACATTCATCTGTATCTAAAACTATTAACTAATAAGTAATGCTACACTCTGAGGTAGCATTTTTCACACTGTGATCTTGTATGATATATTAAAAAAAATAATAATAGAAAATAATATTGTGCATTGATCTGCATTAAATACATAGTATATATAATTTCACATGTACAAATATTTTATATGCTGAAACAAACATTAACATTATATCTGTGAGATTATACTATTTATTATTTTGTTTGTTTTGTTTCTTGGGCATTAGAATGAACCCAGCAACTATGCATATGATGGTAAATGCTTGAGCACCGACACGTGCACGCATCATATATTGTTGCATTTGTCTTCTCCCATGGTAAAAGTTGTACAGTCCATAAGTCAGAGCTAGTGTAGTTGCAAAGGTTCCTGAAGAATATAAAAATAGCTATTAAGACGTATTTCGATAAATTCACGAATATATATACGAATATAACCTTCATATTATATAGACATTTACGCATTTAAGTCACAACAAATCAACATTTCCTCCTTCGTTTTAGTTACCTGAGTATCACTTATTTTTAGAGGTTAACTTACCTATCGGCACCAGCGGGTTCTCTCGTGTTTTTCGCACTGCTTTTTCATATATCGTCTCGGTCTTATAATCGCCGTCCAATTCTTCTCGTATATGAATCCAATCTAACTCATCTAGCTTATTATCGTTCGCCATCTTTTGTAATTCGCTCCGATACTTAGAACTAACGTAACTCAATCTTTCTTTACATATCGCACATAACCGGCGGTTCTACGTAACATAATCTATGTTTGCACCATCGGACTCATGCTTCGTATTATTTAGTTCAAGTCTCCTACAAGGATACATGTTATTAAAGTAATGAATAAAAATAGAAAAAAAATATATAATTTGTGTGATTTTTTCGTAAATGCATTTTACACCAAATAGATCATTAGAGTGCGTTCGGAGGAACGCGCCGATTAGCGCTAACCAGTCATTGGTTGCGTTCCAAGAACAGAATGGTTGTAAAACAAACGAGTAATTCGTTAACATGATTGGCCCAAATTTAGGGATCTAATAATAAAGATCAATAATCACTGACTGTTCACCGTTCGTGTTTTCTAAATGTAACCATTCTATCCTTGTTTGTATATCTAATAAGGGACAAAGATAAAATGACACATTAATGCCATAGAATTATTTATAGTAAATAGATAAATGTAGAATAGAAATTAGAATAAGAATAGAAAAGAAATAAATATAGAGTAGTGGATAAATATATAAATAAATATAGAACTATTTACAGTGAATGGAAGAGAAAAAAATACCTTAAGTAACCTATCCAATAGGGATGAGCAAAATAATCGAGGTTTGAAAAAATTTGAATGAAAAATGCGTCGTATGAGTTTGTGTCAGATGTGTCGATTGGCTATCAGATAGAGAATTTCTAAAGTCCCAAACAAACTTTTTCTAGATGTAATACTATCTTCAATAAGCGAACATCAATGCTTGAAAAATGATGATTTTGCCCATCTCTACTATCCAAACAATGAGTGGAAAAGTGTGAGCGACATCTAAGAGACGGAAAACGTATTTCTTTCTCGCTCGGTAATTTTTCTTCTTTCTGCGCATATGCCAAATGAGACGCGGCCTAATACAGTAAATAGAAGTAGAAGCAAATAAACAAATCGATAATTTTTTAACTCTTATCATTCAGATTAGCAGAATGCATTTTCTTAAAGTGTTTGCGTTTTACGTTGACGATATTTATAGGGAGAAATAAAAAAAAGTTCGACTTAAGTTTATATATATCGAGTTCGAGCTTCTTTTTTACAATTCCATTTAAACTTAATAATTTTACATACGATTTTTTTTTACATGATTTTTGTACTTATTATTTTGTACTTTGTAGTTATTATTTTGTACTTTGTACTTACAATTACGACGCTTTCATCTTTTTACTCTTATGCGATTTAGTCGCTGCGTACATATGACGATGATAAAAATTAAATAATAACTTTAACGTAAAGAATATGATAGATAAAATTATGACCAGGCAGAGTAATAAAAACGCGTAGACATCGATCAATTTATATTGTATCCAGCTTTGAAGTTTAATCGGTGATGCTAAAGTCCCTTTCGGATGACGGACCGTGTACTCGATGCTCCAAATCGCCATGTCTAACGCTGACAATGGTCGATCCCGAAATTCACTCGACAATTGTTTCATATTCTTGGCGTAACTGCGAGAAAACATTTCATCGATAAAATTATTATACAAATTCGCGTGCGATAGTTCTTGCTAATATAAAAAAATTTAATACGACGAAAAGCCTCTACATAAAGATACGATTTAAGTGATGGAAATATATAGGACATTTGAGAAGTTTTACTTCTAGCATAGATTATATAAATTAAAGAGATAAAACTGACCTCTCATTTTTATTCACAATATCATCCGCAATATTCATAATATCGAGTAACAATAATATTATATCGATGTTACAATTTAACAAATTCTAAACAATGTAATTGCGATATAACATACGTCGTAGGAAACGCTTATATTATTGAACGGGGAATTATAATATTGAGATACAATATTACTGTTATCCGATATTTACTAAAAAATACGAATTCAAACGTCATACCTTTCATTATAGAGTACTTGGTCGAATGCATCTAAAATGGTTTGGGTGGTTAAAGTATCAACATTTACGTGTACAGCAGCACCTTTAGCCACTAGGATCTGCATATTGACCCTCTGATCCGTGAAGAAAGGCATCCCGATTATTGGTACATTTTGCCAGATAGCTTCTTGCGTGCTGAGGAGACCTCCATGCGTCCAAATTGCTTTTATATTTTTATGAGCTGGACAAACATAAGGGCCATATTTAGGGTGGGTATTCGTAATCCAATCTTACGTTCAAGGTCGTCTTAAGTTCATCTTTGGATGCTACGAGAGCCGTGTTATTGGTTTATTTCTCGAGTTAAGGTGAACTTATAAACAAACTTAACCCTTAGCTGACACACGTCAAAATAATAACGTACGTACTATAGGGGGTATTTTGGACCCCAGCGAGAAAAAATATGTATAATTGTTTTATTTATCAATATTGGGTCAAGCCTCGACTAATACTAGGTGACGCCACAGAACCAAATTTAGCGCGCAACTATGAAAAATTTGCGTTCAAAAATACTCTGGGGTACTTTTAACCCCGTGTGTCAGCTAAGGGTTAAGATTCCTCGGCTACGAGTACTGCTTTTCAATATATGTGCGTAATAAAAAATTATGACCAATTCGAATGAAGTAATAATTGTTACGGAAAATATAATTGCATCGGATCTTATGCTTATATAATTTCAATAATTTTCTTTTTCAATAATTTTATAACTTCAATCATTTTAAGTGTTTTATAAACGAATAAACATACCCAAGATATCTTTTTGAGGCGCCCACTTAACAACCATCACATTATCAGGTATTTCAAGTGGTATATCAAGTTCTATCTTCCAAAGCACTCTTTGTTTTAATTTTGATAGAGCCAGTATAACAGTTTTAAGTTTATCCAATTCTATGGATTTCCATGACACGTTGGTTCCTAACGATATCATAACAGCTCCGTTCGTTGCTCCGTCGAGAAAGTTACGTATTTTCTGCGGGATTAGTATAAAATAAGAAATTTCGACGATATGCTAATATATGTATACTGAATAATTACTTATAACTAATCAACACATCTGATATTTATGATGTATTATCGTATTACGTTATCTATAACTGCTTGCGAGTTGTGCACGTGCATCCCTCCGACCTCTATAGCATTTGGCAGCAAAGGAATTGCAGGCTCGAATGAAAAGTGAGAATTCAGCAGTAAGATACTGATATCTTTTTCTATCTCGTGTAACGGTCTTATTTCGTGACCAACATAGCGTTCAGCGAGCTGTTGACTTTTGGGCATATAACTATAGGTTCGGAACAGATCATCGAAGATATAATTAACGGTATTCCACAGTCTTTGCGAAAAATCTTTCGGACCCGCCATGTCTGTGCCGTAGTGAGATCGCAACGTAGGATAATTAGGACCACCAACAGAATCCTTGAACCACGGTGGAGAGCTGAATGGAATAAAACCCACTACGGGCGGCTTACCTTTTGCGACCTGAAAATTTTCATCACATACAATCTGCATCTGAACTTTCCCTATAAGCGCGTAATATTCCCAGAATATTATATGAATATTATTTAATACTAAAGTATCCTTATAATATTCTGAGAATTTTTTCATAATTAACCTCGCTAATTTATCAGTGTTGAATTTCTGCAAGTCTTACTATGCATAGTACAGATAACCGCAAATTATCAATAGTCAATTTCGTTTATTTACCTCCCACAGTCCGTAAAGACATTGATTAAATGTGACGTCTTGCACAATGACATCGAATGCAACATTCTTTACAGTTTCCAAAAGTTCTCTCGCTGCTTTTGTTTGTATTACTTCCTCACACGTTTCAATTCCCCATTTAAATACAAATTGTATCATTTGGAATGAATTAAACTCTCTCCATTGATTTGGATTGTAACCCTCAGACAATTTACTCATGATATCATCGAAAACCTAAAAATAAAAAGACATTTTTTTATTATATAAGATGAAGTAAAATAAGTGAAAGGTGATCAATCAATATCTATAAAAATATATTAACAAATAACATATTAATAAGTATATAAAAATACGTGAGAGAATTTGTAGAAAATAATATTTCAAACGAAAAATTATTGGAATTGCGTGGACATTACGTTACATTATCGCACACAAAATGTGCAAGTAATATCTTCGCTAACTTCGCTAACTTCGTAATATCATTCATTCCGGTTGAGCTATTTTATTGGCATCATATCGAGAAAATGAAATAAAAATATAAAGTATAAAAATCTCCCTTTTTTTATCGCTCCTCTTGAAAAGAGAATAAATAAAGAATGTACAGCTCCCGAGTCGCGAGAAATCGCATAAATATCGAATATATAAAGAAACATTAATAATAGAATAAAAAGGAGTCGGAAACAACACTTGAAAACCAGCGATCTCGTACTTTACACTTTACACTTTGGCGCTCTGCGTCAAACTTATATAACATGAAACTTCTAGTTGTAACACGCCAATTTTCAAATCGCTTTTTCTTGAAGAGAAGCTCGAGAAGTGCGGCTTGGTCCATGAGAATTTCTTTTTAAGCGCCATACGTATGTAAAATTTTAGTTTCCTCGGAGAGGAAAACGTCTGACAGTCCCCTTGCAAGAAAAATAATTATTACCATAATTACAGTAATAATAATTTTTTTTAGCGTTATCACCATAAATTGAAAAGATTTGTTGTTTCGTTATAAAAGCAGATTTCACGGTATAAGTTGTCATTGCACATCACGAATGCACATTGAGTATTTCCGAACGGCTGGTGAATGTGCTGGGAAAATCCGATATTTCCTGTGGCCACTAATTTAATATATTGTCATTTTGTCACATATAACTCGTAAATAACAAAGTAAGGTAACAGTCTTGAATCACAGTTATATATGAGTGCAACACCAAAAAATTACGTTGTCTTAATTTAAAAGTAAGATGTAACACAATTGTTATGTGTGTTATTTCTCATATTATTATGCAACGCTTATATTCTATTTGCTAGGAAGAAACATCGCATACCGAAAATTGGATCGAACCCAAACTCTCGCTCAATCGAGGATGAAATGCGATGATTATCTCGGTGATTATCTCTACTTACGACGGATGTTAAATTCTGCCCCAGTTCATCTTCAATTTTGACGTCATGAATGCTCACTATGTGTACGTGATGACCCTTATGGAGGAGGCCCTTCAACAAGGGCACCACCCATAGATGATGACTGGTTGACTTGAGAGGCTGTACTATTAAAATTGACAACGGTTTTGATGCCGTTGCGAACCCTATTAAGATACAACAAAGTAACAATGACTGTCTTAACATGATCATCCCAAAGCGACGTCAATGAAATCACTGGCTGGTCAATCGTTCAATCTTTGAATTTTAACAGCCGCCACCGCTATTACTTTAGTCATTCTCTGTCTCTCTCTACCTATCTCTATCATGATAGAGTTTGAGTTACGTTAGCGTGTTAATAGAGCTGATTCAATCTGGTTTGCCTTGATTTCTGATACGAATATCTTATCGATTCTGAAACATGTTATGAAACATTGTGACACGTGTTGCATTGGATAAATGCAAAAAAAGAACTCTAAAAACTAGTGCTACTTTCAATAAGCTTGGCGTTGATATATGTTATCAAAGACCTGTCTCCTATAGTAAATACGTGTACGTGTTTCAAACTTCTTTTATTAGTAATTTTTTAATGAACAATCAGCGACGCATAAAACCTTTTGGTTGTTATTCAGGACCACATCTTTGATAACATATATTAAGATCAAGTGTGTGTGTATGTGTGTATGTATGTGTGTGTGTGTGGTAGGCACCTTCTTAGCGTACAAATTCGATGTTTTTGTATATACGTTGCCCAAAAATTCCATTCATTTGATGCAACTTCTTATGTTAATAACCTCTTAACGAACAATGAGCGACGGCTAAAACTTTCGGAAGGTCACTCAACAGGGTGACTTCTACAACATATGTCAAGATCAAGCCCATCAGAGGTGACACCAGCTTTTTTAACATTTACCTTACATTGCTCCACTATATTTAAAAGAAACAGCAGATCCTGACAGCCTGAAACTGGAACATCAGACGTCTGTAAGACGTCTTAAAGATGTTTTATGTTTCGGCATTAGGTTTTGTGCTGTTTCGATGTAACTAGTCTATTATTAACGATAACTATATGCAAATTACATATAATGGCTATCTACGTTGCGAATTAGTAAAGTTTAACCTTATTCATAAGCTTGTCTTCGAATACGAAGAAAAATACTTACTTATCTTATCATGTCAATGATAAACAATTATATAATAAAAACAGATAAGAAAGGATTGATAGATGCAAGAAAAGAAACGGATTTTTTCATCGAGAAATTATACAGGGTGTCCTAGACCACTCGTCTCACCTGATTTTTTCGTAAACGCGACATTTTAAAGAA